GTCAAAAAATACCAGCCCTAATTGTTAGTTCTTTTTATTCTATATTTGAGTATGTCGAGGTAATATTAATTATCTCATTACCAATAAGTTGGAATCTACATTTTAATTATTATTGAAATTAAAATAATTTTTTTTAATTAATTAAAAATATGAAATATAAATTTGGAAGGTGCGCCATTAAGTTGTTGATTACGTATATATATTAACTTGGTATGTAAATTAACTTTGTAGCCAATGGACACTTAGGTTTGCGCGACTATTGATTCTATTATAGACAATGGGAGCTACATGCCGGAAGTGCTCTCGCACTCGCGGCAAATTCCGGTTTGTGAATACCAATTGTATTATTGTTTCTATTCATATGTATATATGAAATATGAATTGTAAAATTTGCAAACTTAATCATAAATTTGTTTCATATCTAGGTACAAAATTCAATTTGGTGTTTTCGATGCTTCCGCCAGTGCAACCTTGGTTTGTTGGGATAAAGATTGTAAGAATATTGTTGGAAAAACTTGTGATATATTGAAACGAGAATATGACCAAAAGGTAGACTCCATTTTATGTTTGACATTTATAATCTATAGTAATATAAAGAGGTTGTTGGAAAAATATTTTTATAGTAAGTTTGACTAAAAAATAATGGTCTGGCTTACTATTATTAGAAATTTCGAAAAAAACACATATAATTCTTTGAGAATCAAATTTAATTGAAATATCCCAAAAATAGGAGATTCTTATGGTAACAAATTTGAAAATTTTTATACCAAAATTTAATTTATTTCTTAAATATTAATTCCATAAGAATCTATTATAATTGGTAACAAATTTGGAGATTCTTATGCAAAAAAAAAAGAGATAATGAATTGAGATATCCCAACAATTACAAATTTATTTTCCATTCAAAATAATGTTGTAAATCAAACAAAAATTGTTCCGAAAATAATGGATGCTAACTAAATATTGATAAACTCCCATCCTCCATAAATTATTTATATTTATGAATTTTGTGTGTAAATGTATTGATTTGCTTTTCGTAAATCTATTACTATATAATCGAGAGAGGAATTTACTTGACATAGTATTGAAATTCCAACTTAAAAATTTTCAAAATTTACTATTCTTAGTATTTTTATTCTTTTATAAAAATGGCGGCTAAATGGAAAATTCGAAATCAATTTAAAAAAATTTGATATTTGAGAAAGATATTGTGTAAATATTAATTCCTAAAATCATGGTCATAATATTGACCATAGAGATTTGTTACCATAATTGTAGGAAAATCGATGAAGTATCTTCTTTAATTTCATTCACAATATTCTTGGTAGAGATAATATAGGAAATATTTTACCATAATAATAATAATAATAATAATAATAATAATAATAATAATAATAATAATAATAATAATAATGATAATAATAATAATAATAATAATAATAATAATAATAATAATAATAATAATACTATCTATATGAATATCGATAATTTGCATATGACTTTTGAAATATTATACTAAACCTACTGTATTTGATTTTGTAAGGATATTATTAATAAATTTATTTTTGCATTGTGCGGCAACCTATAACAAAAAAATTGAACCAAGTAAATATTTTTACGTCATAAACGAATTATTACATAATAAATTTGCATATGTGTAATGTCATTTTTTATTTAGTATGCTTAATATGTATTTAAGGGATGTGCATATTAAATGTTTATGGATATGATAATTAATTTGTGTTGTTGGTAGCATATATAATTAATTACGGTTAAAAATTATAGATAATTATTGTTTTAGATTGAAATTGCAATTCATAATTGAATGATTTTTTTTTTTAAATCCTGCCTATACAATCGATGAAACAAAATTTTCCAGAAAAAAGAATCACACGGGTGTCCATATTTATTTGACTTCAACACCTAATTACAGTTTGGAAAGAATTCAAATTACAGTTTAGAAAGAACCTAGATTTATAGGGACTGTATAAATTATTCTTTAGATAAAATATTGCAAATTCCGACTTAAATATATTTTTTAAAAAATTACACGAAAACACCATAATTTTTAATTTATATTTTTATATTATTTTTTGTACATTAACAATTGTAAATTGCTAATTTATTAAAAAAATATCAAACACAACTTTGAGGATATCTTTTCTCATGAATTTTAATACTCTAATCAGAAAATTTCCATCATAAGATTCACCGATAATACCATCTAATTACTCATATTTTTAGGATTAATACAAATAATTTTTGAAAAAATCATACTAAACAATCTTGTGAATTTTTGTTAACTTTTTCATACCTTCTTACATTTTGGAAAGCATCAAATTTATACGGACTATTTAAATTATTTTTTCAGATATAGTTTTGGAAAATTGTGACTAAACAATCGTGTGAAATTTAGTTAAAATTTTCAGAAAATACACGCAATTGGTTGTCGAAATATATCTAACTACAATCATTATTTCCATTATTTTTGTTACATTGCCAATCTTAAATGGTTAACTTATTTTAAATAAATCAAACGCAATACTTTGAGTTAATATCTTCTACCACAAAATTCACCAATAACATTGTCTAATTACTAAATTCATTTTTTTTCTCTTAACATATTTAATAATGTCAGAAAATCACACACACACACACACACATATATAGGTGTATATGTGTGTGTCATTTTTTAATTATTATGAGATAGGACAAATTCTAAAAATGAATAGAATGCACACATGCACAATATATATTGTGTATTTGTTTAAATATTATTAAATTAATTGCATAACTAAATAATATTAATGTATATTAAATATTTATCATTATATAGATATATATATTTATATTTATATATATAAGGAATACTATTTTTATAAGTATTATAGATCATAATTATTATTATTATTATAATAAAAACATTAGACGACATCTTTTTTTTTTGGTCGAAACAATAGATGACATTGTACGACATTAACTTTTTTAAAAAACAATAATAGTTGAATATTATGATGAGTAAAAAATAATACAATTATTATTTTTTCTATATCAAACAATAAATGTAAATATTAAAATATTATTTATTAATAAAAACGGTTAGCAAACTAATATACTGTATAAAATTTTAAACAAATATTTTAAAAAATAAGTCATCGCACGAGATATTCACTACTATATAATAATATATTTATAAAAAGTATTTATATTTTCAACAATTTTTTTCATTAATTTTATATTTTAAGAAAAAATTACCAAAACTGACATCTATTAATATATAATAAGGATTAACTTAATTCACTTTTAGTAATCTTTTCCCGCCAAATTCATTAATTATTGTCTAAAATTAGTAACTTAACAAACTTTCATTAATTACATATTGTAATATGGAATAGATGTTTTTTCCGATTAGAATCTCTATAAATATGGAATAGATTTTTTTTCCCGATTAGAATCTCTATAAATATTAACTTAACAAACTTTCTATTATATATAATAGATGTTTTTTCCGATTAGAATCTCTGCAATATGGAATTTAGAATCTCTCGCCGAGTGAGCATTTCCGTAAAAAAAATAATTAAATTAAATTAATTAAATCAATTGATTCCGTAAAAAAAAAGTAAATGCATCTATATAGATTTATTTACATATCGTTCCGTAAATTAATTACATGTTGTATGGGCTTTAATTCTCGAAAAAAATGAATAAATTTGACGCGTGAATAAATTGGCAAAATCTATCTATACTTATATAAAAAAGACATTCTATTTACTAGAATTGGTAGTAAGAAAAGTCAAAGGTAATTAATGCATTTTATTTCCATCAAGTATTTCATTTAATTATTTTAGTTAATTGTTTTATCTCATAACACCTTTTCAATTCAACTTACCATGATTTTTCTATTGTGATTAAAAATCAAATTTTACATTTAAAATCTTGTGAAATTATTATTATTATTTTTATAAAGCACATATATTATTTGTTAAAAAAAATGTATATATCACAGTACCTTGGTAGATGATTTAAATTTCAACCGACCATAATACCAATGATTTAAATTTGAACACACCTATGCGTTTGACCAAATGTCTAGATGATTTAAAATTGAGCCCATACAAAATTATTTAAATTTGAACACACCAGAAATTTTATGTACTTTTTATTTATAAATATATTGAAAGTGGTATTTAATGGCTCTTATATAAACAATTTTAATATATTTGCAATGAATAAAAGTTTGTATGAATAATTTGTAATGTTATTCATAATGTTTGTGACTTATGAGACACGAACACATAACTCCATACATATTTACCAGAGGGCGGCTTAATAATTTTTTAGACTTAACGTGATTAAAAGAGGTAAAAAAATAGATAATAACATTATTACATTTTAGACTTAAACGGACAAGGTTATGAAAATAACTCATTTAATATCTTTATCCCGTGCATTGCACGGGGTACATACTAGTACGAGCATTATACTAGTTGATTTATAATTACAAATCGTGCGGTAATTTTCTTTAGGCCGTCGAAGACAATGGATGCCGCCGACACTCCAACTTCATCGGCGATGGCTGAAATCTCCGGAGCTCCGCCGTCTTCAGCTTCTGAAATTCAGAGCAGTCAACCGGAGTTCGATCCTGAAACCATGCGCAAAACCAAGCCCGGATTTAAGCGCTTGGTTCTCACTTTCACTGTTTTCCTGTCTTTCCTCATAGGCCAGTCAACAATCTCCATGTTCAAATTACCATTTTTTTTTTTCTTTTCACCTTCATCTTATGATTATTTATTTCAATCTTCCTTTTTCTTCTTGTAATTGCAGGTCTACCATTTTTCCTGAAATCAATTGAAATTTACAGATCACCGTTGCCGTTCCGCGAGATCAACAGATTATCCGCCTCTGTGGAGTTGAATCCCTTACATTTTCCTTGCAAATTTCGAGCAGTTTTGTTCCATGGTGGTGGAGCTTCGTATACTGCTAACGAGTTGTCGGTTTTGATTCAATCTCACATGCGGAAGCTCGCCGCAAAAGATTCTGCATCTTGCGGCACTTGTGATTGTAATTCTACTGTTTCTGTAGCCTTAGAATCTGTTTCCGACTGTTCTCGAAGCGACAGTGAATTTGATTGGAAATGTGGATCGCTTAATGAGCTGAACCAGTATTGGAATTCGAGGGAATATGATGATGAGTTGTTTGATGGCCATTTGAAGTCTTTGTTGGATGACAATGGCAATCCTAGTAATGGTGAAGTTTATACAGTCATTGTGGTTAGGAGAGAGGAAGACGAGAATGTGACTGCTGTTGTTGGGAAATACCGGCATGCGTGGGTTGTAGGTCGGGTTTCGGAGGAGGAGGCTGCGATGAAGGTGGCTGAGATCTTCGTGAAGGCATTCATGAATGGTGGAAAAGAGGAAGGTTCTATTAGTGGGGAGTTTATGCCGGTAGGGGCAGATGGGAGGATTGTTCTCTCTTTCAATTTGCTGAATGCTGATCCACGGGATTGGATTTATGGCTGGTATGGAAGCTATGTTACGCGATTTTGTTGACTAGGTGTTGTTCATTAAATTAATATGATGAACTAAATGATTTCTCTTAATTCAGGCGATAATTGTTAACTGCTTGTGTAGTTGTTTTACAAGACTTCTTTTAATTCTACGTTAAAGCCTGGGGTAATGAGTTCGTATAGTCATCTTAAGATTTCCCTTTGAACCATTTGGCATGCATAATAAGGTCGTATACTAGCTTATGTTTCATCGTTTGCTTTATTTATGGACTAAAGCCGGTGCATCTCAATTATTTATTTTCCCAGGGATTTTCAGGAGCTAGAAAATGATCTCTTGGCTCCCATTACTGAGGCACTTAAGCCTCTTGCAGATATTCGGGTAGAGAGTCAGGTTGTGGTTAACCCTTGTTAGCTCCCAGAATTTGTCTCTATTATACATGTATGCTTGTGACCGTTCCAATTAACATATTCTAATGTTTTTTGATTAGACAGGTTTTATACCACACTCCAAAGGCATCATTTTCCTATTGGGATGACAAGTTGGGAAGCTTTATTTTCACCGCAAAAGATCTTCCTTTCTTTGTATGTTCTCTACGGTTTACCTATTGTCAAGAGTTGATTTGTTATACTTGATCAATCTTTGTTATTAGTAGCACCGTGCGGGGAAATTTGGTCAGTTGTAACATGCATTATATGCAAATTTTCACACCTTTGCTAGTTAGAGTTTATCTTTCAACACTATGGTACACATTGTGTTTATTTTCTCAATTTTCTTATGTTTTACAACCTGCTGAAGAGACAAGACTATGAGTCATATTTTTTTATGATGTAAATAAACTCTGCGCAAAATTGTTGCAAATATAATGGTTTTTGATATCCTTTTCTGCCATTGGAAGGGTCAATATAGATTAGAGATGCTTTCATATGTTGCTGGCAGTTTCTTATTTCTCTCCACTGTTGTAGGTAAACTCAAACGAGTGGCACCTGGACGCATCAGTTGCAGCTGGAGGGCGCTCAAAGATTCTACATTTTGTACTGTATAATCTTCGAATCATTATTTAGATCTGTAGCTATTTATGTAGTTTATAGTATTCAAAGTTTCTGCAGGTAGATATAACTACAAACCTATCCGTCAAGAAGGCATAAGAACTTTATTTTACTTACTAAAAAGAATTTACAGACATCATAATATTGGATTCTATTGCATTTCAATTCTGTCACCTGAAAATTGAAGTATCAAAGGCATAAGAACTTTATTTTACTTACTAAAAAGAATTTACAGACATCATAATATTGGATTCTATTGCATTTCAATTCTGTCACCTGAAAATTGAAGTATCAAAGGCTGTTCTCCCGTATGCTGTAGGAATTACGACATGTTCTAGCCTTTTCTTTATGTTCTACTTATAATGCCAGATATGTGCCATCCGCATCAGAATGTCCACTTCAATTGCGGCTTCCAAATGGAGATATTTCTCCAACACATGGCTTTATATCTCCAGTGAGTTACATGCACTTAAAATCATGGTTTTTTGCCGTGTTGTGCCAATCGAATCTAATCTTACGTTATATGTCAATTTTTAGATGTGGGGAAGTGTTGTTGTTTGGAATCCGGCTTGTTTTAACGACTCAAAAATGGAAACTAACGTCAGGCATAAGATTTCTCCTGAGGTCAGTTTCAATCGTTTAATGTCTCTTTCATCGACTTTTACATGATCTTATGTTATTATTAATCTTTCTTCGCATACATGTTCTTCTTGTACTGAGCCTAACATACTCATATGAAACAGGACATGAAGAAAATTTTTGAAGTCTTCATAGGCCAGTTACGACAACTCTTTGGTCTGAAGTCTAAAGGACTCTTTGCTGATGCATCCGGCACATTACGTTTGTTAACAAGTGACAGAGGCTTCACAGAATGGTAAGAAACCTAATTGGAGATGCATAACGTGGCAGAAAGCATAGCTGAGAAACTTACTAGCACAGACACAATTCAATAATCTCAAAGGCTTTATAGCTTTTTTTTTTTTTTTTTAATCTTATCTGGCAAAGCAAAATGTTGATTTCAATTCTCAATGCATGTTTATTTTCTGCTTTTAAGGGAATTGGATGTGTTGTCCCGGCAGCACACTTGTTTTAATCTTCTTCAATGTTCCACAACTCTTGGATCACTTTCTCGGCTGGTATGTTGTTAATATATTATATATTTATGTATAATGTGGTGTATGTCCTTTACTTATAACCATGAGGATATGCAGGTAAAGTCACTTCCTAGAATGATCATTAAGGATGAAATAGGGAAACAGGTGAGTTTATCTTAGTTGAGTTGTTTCAAACGTCTTAATCCTATTCATGATTTAGAATATATCTGCAAAATGCTTTCCTGAGAGCTGTTTTATGCATCTACAGCAGTAGTTAATTTCCATTGGCTAAAGTGATTAGTTTGATAAAGGTTGCATGCTAGAAAAAACGCTCTACATATTGAGAAGTTTAAGTTTGAGCTGGTTATCATATCACTCTTAACATGATGCAGTATCATTTCGCTCTTCTGATTGGTCTTGTCAGTTATACTGGTTTCTGGCGGGCTAACATGTATAAACTAATATTAATGCTTGAGGAGAAAAAGAAACGATGTTTATGTTAGTTTTTAGGATTCCTTATGGGGATCTGAAATTCAACAATAAAAGTTCTTCACAAATTCTTGAATGCAAGGTCTAACTTGCTAACAACTTTTTATGACACTTCATGAGATATTATATCCTCGGTGGCCTTTTCTTTTCCCACTGGCCAACATAATAAGCTTCTGTTTGTATATCTAGGTTTGATTTATTTAGATCTCAGTTGATACTTGAGCTGGAAATATTATCTTTAATCTCAAACCTGGCCAGTCTGTTATCCTTCTTGCTTTGTCCCCCATGGTAGCTGTTTTTCTAGTTGAGGCAGTAAATTCTTGAGTGCTAATCCTTCCAACCTTACTGAGCAGGTAAGGTACTCTCTTGAAGCTGCAAAAATGGCTTTAAGCAATGTGTCTGATGGAGTTTATGATTCTTCTGCAGGTAAGGTTCTATTTATTCATGGCAAAAGTGTGTTTTCTTTTCTTCCCTTTAAGTTTTTTGGGATGTCATAAATATGCTAACAGAGAGCTTTAATATCTTGTATGTTAGTTTCCTCGAGACAAGCTAGATCCTTTGCTGAGGATGCATTTTATCACCCGTCCATGATGTCTGTGAGCTACTACTCATTTGAGCACTGCTTTGCTGTATATTCGGTTAGTTTCTCTTTGCTAAATTCTGTTTATTGATCTTAATATAGTTTCTCTTACATTTCAATAAGTCTATGGAAGATGATTTACGAATAATGATTGAATGTCTAAATTGAAATAACTTCTTTCTTAGGCTCAATATATTGCAAAGTATTTTTATAGTGTGTGTTTCAAAAAAATAGGCAGCATTTGTAAATCAATGCTTAACCTCCTGGGTATTGGGGAAATTCGTTTACCTTAAACAACAGTTGGGTCATTGCGGAGAACCAAACTAATGTGACGTGAGAAAAATAGATAGTGATGTATATCAGGTTCCTTTTTTAGTCGATGTTGAGGAGGAAAAATTCAGAAGAAATATAACTTTAGCTTAATATAGAGTGTTTTAGTTATTTTTAAAGGCATTTGTAACTTAGAAAGTGTGAATATTGTTTGTATACTTGCCCTAAAAGGTGTGTGCAACTATATGATGGGTCTATTTGAATGTTGTTCAACAGCCCTTCTTTCTGCCGGTTTCTCTGCACGTGCTTCTTGCAGCCCTCAGGGAATGGAAAAGATACAAGCAGGAGAAAAGAAAATACGATGCGTGGAAAGATAAAAAATTGTGATTACTAATTGTTCAAAACCACCGTCAGCATAGCCAAGGTTTGCCACTAGACAATGGAGTATCATGCAGATGGTGATTTTCACACACATATCGTGATCTGTTGTCGTGTAGAAGTTGAGCTGATGAGATTTTCTGATCAATTGATTGATATTAGGCCTATAGTGATGTACACATTGGTTATAATATTGAAATCGTGTAGAAGTTGAGCTGATGAGATTTTCTGATCAATTGATTGATATTTAGGCCTATAGTGATGTACACATTGGTTATAATATTGAAATCGTAATCCGTTGACGAATCTTTTTAAGTTCAAATTCTGGTGCACCTCTTTTGTATGGTGTTGTTTAATAGTTAGTTAATGCCTAGCATTAAACAGTTGGAATTTTTCTCAAGTGATTTTCAATTTCGAAAACGTGGGTTTGGAATGTCGATGGTTTGGCATATAATAAGCGAAAATAATCAGTCGAGCCAAACCAAATAATCTAAGCACACACAGACTATGCATGGTTCAACATATAGCTCAAAAATAAATATGCACATCAACAGTTAAGCTATCAACTCGACAATAGGGAGAATTAACTGGTTCCAATCAGCTCAATACATTAAAGCAAAAACTCACAGAGATCCCTATTCCTCAATAATTTATGTTTAAACTACAATTACATGCCCATTGAAGCCACAAAAGCTGTAACCTGTATGACAATAAGCAGCTGGTAGTTTGATTGATGGTCGGTCCTGTATACAACCAGATTATGGCTTACTCCACTCAATATCATACTTTCGATTCCAGTGCCAGAAGTATCTTTTTCCTCGGACCCTAGAAACAAAAAAAAAAAAAAAATCAGTGAAGATAGCATGGACGTTCATTTTTCAAAATTCAAAATAATGGAAGCCTGTGCTTAAGTTAATCTCACTTTACAGAAACAAACAAATGAATGATCAGGATAGCTTTTAGTAGCAAAGCAGGGACCAGAATCGGATTATTCGAGCTACCTTTGAGTATAGTGATGTAAATTACCACAAATTAACAAAGCAACAAAAAATTCTAACAGGTCACAACTGCATCTACTATGTTGACCTGAGTTTGAACTTAAGACCTATTGTTTACAAGGGTGGAGCAACTATCTACCATCTACCAAGTCTTCAATAAAACACAAATCAAATCAGTTGCAGGTTGAGTCAACAGTACACACACACACGTGACAATTGCTACAGCCTACATGTGAAAAGGAACTATTTCTATTTCCATTAGTTCCTTAGCGGGCTAACCAGCCCGCTAACCAGCCCCTTAGACTTTGCTCCCAAGCCCCTTTAATTGTAGTACCTTTCCTCAGAAATAAGATCTCTAACAGGTAAGCTCTTCCCTATACAGCTTAAGCAATGCATTTTTCAAAAGTTAAAGGAGTGACACTCAGAGATTAAAGGCTACAATGACCCTTTACTATAAACTTATATGCACTATTTATAACCACTTCTTCCGTTTTTCATTTTCTTTCTCCTAAACGGACAGACAGACCAAACCAAATCACATTCTTTAGTATACTTTTCTGCTATTGCATCACAATGTCTAATACGTCTCTGCAAGCTTTTTTTCCTCAAATACTTGTCCAGATAACCTCCAAAAATTGACCAACGTATCTTTAGTTGCATGCTTAGATATAAGTTTTTATCAAATAAATCAAATCACAACTCAAATCTAACTCAAATTTAACTCAACCCCACTATCGTCAATATTATCAATATAATTAAATAATTCAATCAAGAGTAATGCTATAGGTACATAATATTGTACATAAGGGTGTACATAACACTCACATCTAGTGGGACCTACCAAAAATAAAAAATCAAGTAGACCCCACTCCATGTGAGTATTATGTACACCTTTATGTACATTTATTATGTACTTCTAGCATTTTTCTTCAATCAATCATCCTTACACATCACATCAACTTTAATTCATTAATCATCCACTTACATAATTTTAACTACCTATCATTTCCTATCAATTGTCTCATACTTTTACAACAAAAACAACTTTTATTATTTTATTTTAAATATTATTTTAACACATACTTGAAATCCCACTCAAAACTAACCCAACATACTTTTTCAAAAGTAACCTGGTTAACCAAAAAAAACGAATAAAAAAAAAATAAAAAAAAAAATTATCCAAGCAAGCCCCAAGTACTTCACAAAGTGGAGGAGCAGGCCCTTGTAGTTGAAAGAATATAAGCACAGGATGATACTTTTCCTCAGTAAGTCTGCTTGAGGTTTTGCTAATATGCAAAACAAGAATAATATGCACAAACAACATTGATTGGGGAATCTGTACATACAATAAGAAGAGCGACAAGATCCTGGGCTCAATCATTCTAATCCAAGGCTATGGTAAGTTTCAAAATATGAAAAGCTGGAGTTGAGCAGCTAAATTACAAGTTTTGGAGATGGAAGGTTCAACGCAAAATTGGTAGTTTTAGGTTACATACCTTCAGCAGAACAATATTTTATCATTACTTTAATTAATACTAGACAGAACAGAGACAAATAAAAATAGCACCCGTATACTACGAAAATGAAGTGGCTGTCCAAAGTTTCATGTACCTCTCAATTCCCATCTATCGACCATATTTCTGCACTTATATTTCTTAAAACAACAAGAAATAGACCCATGCATGAAGATATAGATATGGGGGTATATATTTATGCTAAAGGCTAAAGAAGAATGCAATGATCATACAAGGAAGATCCATAACATGTACAAAGCTAGCAAGAAAATACTCACCATTGGTATTCCCATGGCCTTGAGATCTTCATCACCCATGTGTACTAATGCTGTCATATCAACCTGCCATTTCCCACAACTATATTATCTGTAAGATTATTGAAAATAGAAGACAGAAAGTTCAAAGAAACAATATTCCCCTACTTCTTCAGCCTGAAATGTTATTGAATATTTCTCGAGACCCAGGGACTGCAAGAAACCATCTACCGTCTCAACCTGCATAAACTTAATGCAACAAAATCACTGTTGATGATCGTAGAGATGTTAAAAAAGTTCCTAAAGGAACAGAGGCAACCCTTAGAATACTAAAGTGCAAACAGAAAATCTATCGGAAAGATGCTATCTGTAGTTTACTTTCTGTTGAGTCTTATTGTTTGGTATAGAGGCAGCAATCTTCATTGTTTTTCGAGCCGGGGCTTCGGTGATGGCACTATTCCCAGCAGGTTTACTGGCTTCAGGTGCCGGCTTTGATCTTAATGGCGCTGGATGAGACTCAATCCGACGAGAATAAAGTGAACCAGAGAGCTTCTCACGTAAATCCCTTGCACCGCCGAGAGCAGATCCTCTAGCATTTTGAGTAGCTTGCCCAATGCTTTTCCTTTGAAGCTTCAGACGAAGATCCTTCACACCAACTCTGTGATCTAATCCATGGAAGCATACAAAGTGAAAACCACATTAACTGAGTGAATACAATAATACACAGTAAGCCAAAGACTATTCTAGTACAACTTTACTAGAGGTCCTTCTTACTTGAAACCTGAGGCCTGTTGCCCTCAAAAAGATCATGCTCCCAGTTGCCATCATCTTCTCTCCGTCTGCATGAAGCAATTAAAATTAATAAATGAAAGAAACCATATTCTCCCACATTAGAAAAAATAAAATGAATATAATCTTGAACTTCCATACTTCTTCCCAGTCTAAGTGTTTCAATTTCATTTGCAACAATACAACAATACATAAAGGATGTTATTCCTAGCTTAATAATAAGGCTGGTCGACCCACCATACTTCTTTAGAAAAAAAGGAACACTATGCAGTGAAATATCATCCTTCTGCTAATGTTCATTCTTAAACTATGACATCTCATAATAAGAGTGCATTTTTATTGAGAAAGTGTCTCCCCAATGGTTAGTCTTGCGTAAAAGCAGCCCTACCACATGTGTGATTATTAGAGAGTGCCAGAACACCGAGACAGAGAAAAAAACATATCCTTTGGTGACATCGCACATGGATTTGTGAGATTGCAAGAACCAACAGCCCCAAGGCATGCTAAGCACGATCCCAACTTTAGTGATTTGGTCATATCATTGATTAAGTATGTCGATATTTTAGCAAGACATTTTTACTCCACAAAAAATGAATCGACTGATTTATTGGACTCTACAATGTTTGTACGCCCTCCGCGATTTACGGGGAAAAAACTAAACCGATACGAACCATACCCGTCACACCCCATATTTGACCGGGGAAAGAGTATCTTAGTGCAACAATAATCATAACTATGAGGAAGTGTTTTCATCTACATACGATTTTGTATACCTAGGAGGAAAAAGTACCGTTTTCCATTGAATTGGTTTATAAAATACCAGTAAGTCATCTCAGACAGTCATTGCATAGGTTCACATTATCCAGGACCAAAAAAAAGGAAGAAATAAAAAATAAAACCTAAACCTAAACATCGTATAAGTTCATTATCCAGGACAAAGAAAGGAGGACATGAAAAACAAAACCTAAACCTAAACACTCGAAGTAAACGAAAGAAAGGAAAACGTGAAAGCTGACCTCTTGCCGGAGAGAAGCCTCCGACGACTGAAAGCGGCGGCGGAATTGCCGTTCAGGCGCTCCTTGATTGACCTATTAGCCTGAGCCTCCACTCGATCAGCGTACATCGTGTGGCTACTCAACAAATCTGCTGCCACAGAATCCCCGAAAGGAAATAGCGAAGGGAGTGAATTCAGTATGAATTGAGGGCAATTGCTGGAACGGATGAAATCGCAGGCGCAGAGAAAAAACTGAAGATGTAATACGATTATTTTGAAGTGTGGAAACTTATGAAATCAAATTACCAATTTAAGGGGGGTGTATTTAATTGGGATTTATAAAGACTTTTAAAAACTTTTTAGGATTTTAGAAATCCTGGAGTATTTAATTTAGATTTCTCAAGACTTTTAAAAGTCTTGAGGTATTCAATTAGGATTTTAAAAAGTCTTACAAAATCCTGGTGTATTTAACTTATTTAAGGTTAGGATTTATAAGGACTTTTTAAGATTTGCTGGGATTTCTAAAGAAAAAAACATGAAGGAAATCCCACTACAAATCTCACCTTTCGACTTGGTATTTTATAGGATTCTTTTAAAATCTGAAAATCCTCAAAAATCTTAAATCTTAAAAAGTCTTTAAATGTCACTCGAATTCTGAAACGAATATGAAACATATTAAAGAATAAATTTTTAATTTTGAAAAACAACGGAAGAGAATATAATAAAGGAGAAACTAATAAAAAATACAAATAAAAAATTATAACTAAATCAATTTAAAAAAATAAGATTTAAGTAACTAAATCTAGCCCTTTTTTCATCCTATCGTCGAGCTTCTTTATGTCGCTGCACGCCTTCCACGCCGGTTTGCCAGTCCTTTCGCCGGCGTATGGCCTGTAGCCGCGCAGACTCGCTCCAATTTGAGCCTCTAACAGATTTTCTTGCGTCGATGGGGGATGTCTGACGCCCGTTGGTCGGTTAGGCATCGTTTCATCACCCGTGGCGGGATCGACTGTGGATCTTTCGACTTGCGTCGAGGTGATGTGTGGTCGAAGTGTTGGATGCGACCCTAGTTTCTCAGCTTGTCTGCGACGAGCCGACCTGGGCTGAGGTGTGGCGGTTCTCGCGCTCTGTGTCCTTGTCCCGCTGGTGTGGTGGCTGAGGGATGACCGACACGCCCGGATCTTGGCCAGTGGTGACCGGGTTTCGGGATGCTGGTGCGTGGGGAGGCTGAACGACACTCCTTCGGCTGTGGGTCGACTTTACTTCTTGGAGTGGTCCGGGGTCTCGGGTTTTAGCTTCAGCTAGGCGTTTCGGAGCAAATTCCTGGACAACGGTTCATTCCTTGGGTGTGACTGGCTGTGAATTCTGTTGGTGCCAAGTGGTGGGATTAGTTACTTTGTTGTGGGAAAGGGATTAGATTTGATTTGATTTTGTTTTTTCTGGTTGTAGTTTAGGTGTGTGTATTTGTTTAGTTTGTTTGGTTTGTTCTTGTGTTTTTGGTTTGGGTCTTTGGCCTCTGTTATGCTCGAGTGAGAGCGGATGTTATCCTGTTGGATCGGTCAGTTTTCCTCGTTTGGAGTTGTTTTTTTCTTCAGTTTGTGGGTGTATTGTTTTGCGAGTTCTTTGTTCTAGCGTTGCTAGTTTTAGGCTCTAGGCGATCTTCAGATATGTCCTTCCAGTTTATTCAGCTTGTAGTTGTATCATTCAGCTATAGGCTGTTTCGCACCTTGGTGCGCTTTATAATATCCCTATCGTTTTCAAAAAGAAAAACATCTAAATATTATTTATCATTACTTCATATACAACGTTCGTGGTTTTCACATCATCATAATCTCCATCACCACAAATCATTATCTTCAAGTTTCTGCGATTCGTGGCTCTAAATAGAGCGTTGTACAATTGTCCATATCTGAAAAGGTTATTCAGTAGTAATCTGACATGCGACAAATACTGACCTTTACTCGTATTGATTGTCATAGCATAGAATACCATGAGTGGGAACTGTCGGTGTTGAAACTTGAACGGTGCCTTCAAATCAAATGGTATGATTGTGAGCTTGGGATAAGAACATTGTCACAAGCTATGTCACCAATTAAAATTCTACATGCGAGTACATGACTGCTGAGTTTAGTAATAACCAAAGCATACCATTGCACAACCTCATGGAGTGATTGATGTTTCTGAGCAACATAACTGGAGTGTTGATCAATGTTTCTGAGTAGCATAATGTGTCGATCATTAATTGCAATTTATGATCGGAAGTCCCGAACACTTATTCTCATTGAGAAATTAAAGAGTATGAAGATCTTGAGAGAGTCGAATCTAATGTCTGACTTGCAAGGGGTGTCAGAACTCAAATAAGTCCTTCATTCAAATGAGTTCACTGAGCTCATGTACTCTTAAATAGACTCAACGACATCAACAATCGGAGCGAGTATGACTCTGTCTTTGAGATAGCTAAGTTCATCGCCTGAACTCTTTAACATAAAGTGGGTACTGTCGCCAATAGTAGCAATAGGATGCTCTTGTGATTTTATAATAATATCGTCTGGAATGTCGATATCGACATAACATTCAATCTACCAATTGTACCGTCTCCACTGCTTGTAAGCTACTCCGAGAAGCGCCTCAACTCATTATACTCATCATCCCCACCAAGGCTTCGAAGACTCATATTCCAAGTCAGTCTCAGAACGATACAATTGTGCCACAACTTGAATGAATTGATGCTCGCATTGTGATGCAGACCCTAGTAAGATATTGTCCGCTTTGGGCTACTTCCGCCACCCGCACGGCTTTGTTCTTGGCTGGGCTTCAATACACACCCACCAAAACGCGTCTTACTAGTGAAGGTATCCACATCTTCATATAAGGCCTGCTTCGTTTCCTTTCAAACCCGATGTGGGATGCGCTGCATCATCCACCCCCTCTTGTGGGCCCAGCGGTCACCGCTGGCACATGGGCTGGCTCTGATACCAACTGATGTAGAGCGTAGTACAATTGGGAATAATATGAGATACTCTCTCAAGAACGAACAATCAGAAAAACTTAATTCATCAATAATCTGTTGTGTTTTTCGTTCCATACAACTTAAATACCAATAGGAAATAAAATAAGAATCCTAATCTTGCCAAAACACTGCAAGACCTTTATTTGCCTACCATAATTAATAAAGCTAGCAAAGGAAATAAAATAAAAGAGTACTAATAATACGTCTAAAATAAATAAACTAAACCCGGAGTCGGTCGTATTTATTTAAATACGCTATCGCGGTCTCGTCTTCATCACATTGACTATGTCACTTCGACTGCCTTTAGGGTCACTAGGGAGTATCAGTATGAAATCGCCACCAAACACAACAGACTTGCCGCCAAATGGAAGATTTTTTCTTGATGGATCAACTGCTTTCAGTAAGACTCGTAAGGTGTTGTCCACAACTTGGAAGCAATAATTATTCATCATTGGGGCTTCATCCCAAATGATCAACCAACATCATATAATCAGTTTAGGCAAAGGTCTTTCCTGACAAATGTCACATGCAGACCCTTCCATTGGGTTTTGTGGGATTTTGAATCGTGAATGCGCAGTGTGTACGCCGGGCAACAAAAGTGACACGAAACCGGGATGTCCTTGCTGGTTATCATTTTGGTCACATTGTAAGCATTGTCAATCCTTCCAACACCTACAATAATTGTCGAAAACACAAAATTGAGCTACATTAGATATATGGTGGTCTACTTAAAAAATAAATATTATACTGTTAGCAAAAGACTTTGTCCGACACATTTGGATAATCGTAACTCTTAGTTCCGAGGGTTAATAACCATTTTAGGCATCGAGGAGATTATCTACATGCCTTTCCCAAAGCGTGTAAGTAAGTTGTTGGCCCCTAAATATGTATGAATGACAGCGCATCACAACGCGTCAAAATTATAATTTATATTTTTCCTCAATTAACATCTACTAACTAGTAATAATGGCGAGTAAGGGTCGATCCCACGAGGAGTGTGAATCAAGTTGTGAATTTCTCGTATTAATTGAAACTAAGAAAGTGATAAATGGGGGGGATTGGATTAAAACTAAGATCCTAATTATACAAATAAAATCTGAACAAATAAAATAAAAATAAAAATAAATAAATTAAGAGAAATTTCTAGTTCACGGTTCCGTCTACACCCTCAACTGAGTAGTCTAATCAACTTTGGTATCAAATTTCGCTATCTTATGGAATTACTAGCCCTAGGCAACGACACGGTCTGTTACCCAAATTTTTCCTTATTTTTAATTTAACCGCAAGACGCTCTACGATTAAACCTGACTTCTTGTACAGTCCAGAAAAATGTTTTCAAGAATTAATACAATTAGCCGCTTTACGTATTAGAAAAATAGGCTAGACAAAATAGTGACGCGTTCGTTCACTTAAATAGGCCATGTTATCCGCAGTAGTAACCGTCTTCTGGTAGCCTCTTATGAATTAAACACAACAACAACTACGGATTGAAGGTCTAATTCAGCTGTAGATATGAAAAGTCTAATCTAGGTGATCAATCTAAATAAGACTCAACACCTCATGGTTAATTATTCAAAACAACACGAACAATTCCAAAAAGATGACTCAATAATCAACCACGTAAATCAATCAAACATCATCAAGTCGTAGGGTTCAACTTCCCCAGAACTAGAAATAAAAACTAGCCTAACATAATAAATAAAGAAGAAAAGAGAAGAATAAAGTTATCCTTCTCGTGTACGGGTGCGGTCTCCCTCCGCGATTGATCGAGCTCCCCGTCTGTCTGCTCTGCTTCTCTGTTCACGTATCTCCTCTGTTTTTGCGTGGCGGCTCTGTATTATGCGTGAATATCTATTTATATAAATATGGCCTCTCTTGCAAGTAATTCCTCCCCGCTGAAATATATTGGAATCTGGGGCTATGTGGTTTGGGAAATAAATCCTCCTCTAATTAGTATAGCGCATGTGTGGAGTTTCCGATAGGCAATTGGCAGCCAATTAATTCCACCCCTGTATTGTCCGCTTCAAATCTTCCTTCGACATCTCGTCGTCCATAAATATACTCCAATATCCTAAAATTAAATCATAAAAAATATCATAGCACTTAAATTCGTCTAATA